TTATTACAATTTTATTGTTTATTATTTTTTCATTAATTTATTTTCTTATTTTTTCATTTAAGAATATTTTTTTAACATTTTTGTTTAACAATATTTTATATGTTTTGCTTTCATTAGCAAAAAAAAATTCGCTGATATCATTGGAAACCAGCCATTGTTGAAATAAGGTGACACCTGCTTTGTTTGTTTATATTTATTTTCTTGTTTTTTGTTTGTTTTGTTTTTAGCGTTGGAGGCTAAAGAGTTTTTATTGGCGGGAATTTCACAAAGAGATTTTTTTAACTATTTATTTATTAATAAACAATGAGAATAATGAAATAGTAGTTATTGCATGTCATGTAGAATGTGTTCTTGGTTGAATTGATATAAAATGCAGGTAGTAAAAACAGGAACAATAGTTTATCTCAAACATTTTCAGCATAAAAATTCATTCAAATCAAGACTTTTTGTTTTTCTTAAAATTCTTAACATTAGATATTTTAGTGTTTTATTGTAACATCGTAGAATTTGTAGGCAAAAAGCCGAAATTAATATTAGAAAAAAGACAAGCACATTAACCGCGTGGCAATTAACTGGCGAACGTGTATAAACATGCATATAAATGCTGAGTCATGCTCGTCTAACCGTAGGGGTCAATAGAAAAACGGAGAAGTTATACTCGTTAAAGTAAACATACTGAGCGACTGCGCCGCTATGTCAATACTCGCCATACTATTTAACATATACAGCACGAGTGAGTACTCGTGCGATTGACACTCTCATTACAACACCAAGTACGGTGAGAGCTGCTGGATTTATTTCTTTGGTAAATTAACATATGTATATGCATTTATGTGAATAAAAAATTCTTATTAGAAAATATATAAGGAAAAAAAATAAACTTTGTATAAAATGTTAATAAAATATTTGATAAGGGCATTTTTTTCTGTTACAAAAAAAAAAAACAAAAAATATATAATAACTTATATATGTATATACTGAGTATTAAAAAAAATATTTAAAACGCAATGCATGCTTTTAAAAACTATGGAAAACGAAAAACCATGAAAAATCATTGAAAGACTGAAAATTGAGCAATAACCATTTTCACCTCTAACTTTCAATAGCAATGTAAACATTACTTCATACATACAGGCATATATACATATATACATATATATACATTATGCAGGGAAAAAAGGTCATTCGACTGTAAAGTATTTATTTTTATTTTCAACACTTGTCTTTAAACAACCTTTCGCCTTTGTTTGCAACTTTTAACATATAAAAACAAACAAAAAATAACTAAACCATGGTTGAAAAAAGGGGCAGTACAACAAAAAGAAAAAAAGTTATCATGAAATTATGCCTAAAGAGTTTTTGCCGGTTGCCATGAAACTGTAAATGCAAATGACTGCCACAATGAGGGGAAAATTTTCAGATAAAAAGTAAAATAATAAGCGAATTACGAGTAGTGAAGACAAAGCAACAAAAAATGGCAGCATCAAAAAATTACGTAAAAGACAGCAACAAGACACAGTAGATAGCAATTGCAAAGTCTGCAATATGCGCTGTCCACCACAGGTTTTGTTGTCAGCCGCTCCATCTCTCTGTCTCAGCCTATTCACTCACAACTCATTGTTCATATTTCTATTATTTTACCTGATGCATGTCTAATTTTTACACTGTTGATGCAACAATTTAACAATTGCATTGTCTCAGTGCTGCGCATACTCGTATAGTCAAAGCAAAAATGCAAAAAAATCCCAATTTCAAATAAATCTAAATAAATTAGAGTTAAAAGATAAATAAATAAAAAAAGGAAAAAAACCGAATTTTTTCACTTCTTTGTTTGTTTGCTGCAGACAATGCAATAAGCTGAATATTTTTGCTTTTGGCATTTTTGTCTTTTGTCTTTCAGGTGTTCACCTTTGTTAAGGTGCAGCATGCAGGTCTTGTAGCGGAACTTGCACCTTGACTGAGTGGGCTGACTGGGTGGGTTAGGAATAATGAATGTTAATAAAGAAAAAAATGAGAGCAGTAGAAAAATAAAATCAAAAGCATAAGTATAAAGTATTAGGAATTTAATAAAAAATAAATAAAATTAAATAAAGTACAAAAATAAAATAAAAATTAAATAAAAATAAAAATTAATATAAAATAACAGAAAAATTTAAAAATCATAAATATACAAATATAAATAATGAAAAGCAACAAAAATTCATAATAAACTATTGAAACTTCTTTTTTGAATTTAAAGTAAATATAAAACTCAAATTTATGAAGTAAATATTTATGCAGTTGCCACCTAACAAATTTCAAAATGCAAATTAATTTGAAAAGCTGCAGCAAAAAAAAAACTTTTTCGTTCCCACTTAATCCAAAACATTTACGAAATTTGTCTCACGCCATTACCGTCTATCCGCCTGACTGATTGACTCTCGCTGACAAGCGGCGAATGCAATGAATTATAAAAACAAAAACCGAAATGACGAATGAGAAAAGACAAAGCTTTTACAGTTGTTCGGTAATTGAATTTAAATTGTCTGCCAAAAAAATTATCAGCAAAATGAAATCAGTCAAAAGCGCAGACGAAATTAAAAAAAACACCAATAACAAACAAATATTATATAGTAGTCTAAGCGTTTGTGTAGATGAAATGGTTGTTTAAGGTGAAAATAAATTAAAAATAAAATGAATTTACAAACGGAAGTTTGAGGAAGTGTTGACAAGCAGACTCGGCAAGGGATTGATGGCTGAGCAGCCAAGCAAAAAATTCAATATCATACGCTTATGGGCTTTAAAATTAGGTAAAAGTTCACTAGAAATACGCTTTCACCGAAATTAAGTGGAAAAAAACTGAATGGACACAATAAAAAATACTGTTAAATAAAATAAAGGCAGCAAAAATCAATTGAAATAATTTAAATTAAGTAAACTCAAATTAATTAAAAAAAAATTAAAAATATAAAATAAAAGAAGTAAAAAACAAAAAAAAACAACAAGATAAAGTAAAATAAAAAATTAAATAACATGATTATAAAATAAAATAAAAAATATAAAATAAAATTAATTAAAATAAATTAAAAGAAAACTGAGTAAAATAATATAAAATAAAAGCAAATTAAATTAAATTAAATAAAAAAATTAACAAAAAAGAAAGGTAAAGAAAAGTAAAAATAAAGTAAACTAAAGTAAAAAAAATTAAATTGAATTTAAATACATCAAATAAGAGCAAGAAAAATTAAATAAAATAAAATCAAGTAATAAAAAATAAAATAAAAAATAAAACAAATAAATAAAAAAATAAGCCAAAATTATATTAAATAAAACTAAATTAAACCACATAAACAAAAATAAAAGAAAAATGAAATAAAATCAAACATTATAAAATAGAATAAATAAAATAAAAAAATAATATAAAATAAATAAACTAGAAAATTGAAACAAAAAAAAAAATAAATAAAATATTATAAAAAAAAAAAATTAAATAGCATAAAATATTATTAATTGAGATAATGAATAAAATAAAAAAAAAACACAAAACAAATAAAATAGCATAAAATAATAAAAAATTAGATGAAATAAAACAAAATAACATTAATTGAGGTAAAGAAAAGTAAAGTTAAGGCAAGGCAAAAAAATTAAAATAAAAAAAAAACAAAAGAAAATAAAGTAATATAAAATAAAAAATAAAATAAATTTAAGTTACACAGAATAAAATAGAACAAAATAATTTAAATAAATTGAAATGAAATAAAATTTTGACTATTTAAGTAAAATAAAAATAAAACAAAGTATAATTAATTAAAATAAAATAAAATGACTTTAAGTAAAATTAAATTATGATAAATAAAATTAAATTAAATAAAATAAAATTAATTGTAATCAATTAAACAAAGAGAATAAAATATAATATAATTAAACATAATTAATTAAAAGCAGTAAAATAAAACTTTTTTTTTAGAAATTTCGAAGAAAACGTCTTGCATTAGAAGATCAACCAATTTCGTTCGTGATTTTTGGCATAGGATAAGCTTTGAATTAAACACGTTTAAAAAGTTGCAAGCCGTGAAAATTTGTTTGTGGAGAAATTACGGATTTATGAAAAAAGTTTCGAAAAACTTTGCCTTGAGTTTTATGTCGAAGGTTAATATCAACGCTTTGGTTTCTTTCTAAAAACACTAATCGGTTGAGTAGTTGGCTTGCTTGTTAGTGAAAAATCAAAAACTTATTACTCGAGTTATGGAGACATTGTCACCATATAGTGTTTAATAATCTTTAACATTTTCATATTTTGTAGGATTAACGTGCATTTTGTAGGCGTTTGCGTGATTTTGAATTTGAATTTTAAAGGACAACAACAACAATTTCAATTTGAAAATCTGTCTTGAGCGCTTTTTACTATTAAGTACATTATCAAATGTAATTTCGAAGTATTAATGTTCATAAAAATTAATTCAAGTTCGATTTATTTATTTTCATAATAAAACTATTAAAAGTTATATAAAAATTTTAATAAAATAAAACAAGGATTTTTCGTTTCTAATTTGATTCAAATATAAAATTAAAAATTACTAAATATATATAAATAAAATATCTGAAAAGAGAACCGGCATTTCCAGAGTCATAACTCTACATGGCGTATACGTAACACTAGAAACTTTTTCCCAACCATTGCAACAACCCACATTCGTACATATAAAAAATTTTCAAAACCACCGAAAAATCAGCGATGTGCATAAAGCACAAACGAATTAAATTTTTGCAGTTATTGTTTTGCCGCCTCCTATTTTAACACATGCACATAGATTGCATGCATTTTTCCTATCGCCTTTACATATTATATATGTATCTATATGCTTGTGTATGTTATTGCATAAAAATTCATAAATTATTTAATAATAAGAACAAGCATATGCACATAGCATAGCATATATATATGTATATAAGTAAGCATATATTAAATTATACAAAAATTAACTCTAAAAATAATTAAAAAAATATATACACAAACTCACCACAGTCTGAAGTCTGAAGGCCTGCGCAAAAAATCTCTGCAAACAGTTGGTAACGAAAAATTGTTTTTATTTTATGTGGCAAATTGGCAGTTGAAGGCAAAGTGACAAGTTATAACACAGCGGTGTAAAAAAAAAAACCAAGAAGAAGAAGAATCGGTGTAAGACGAATGCGAACGACGCGGCACGCACGGTTTTTTTTTTCTTCGAACGAAACGACGATGAAAATTTTTGCGAAGATGATAAAATGAAAAGTGGAAAAATTGTGTTTTTTTTTTGTGCTTCTTTTGAAAAGGAAATCTTACTTTTGTGTATGTATGTGTTTATGCTGTTAGCGTTCAATTTTGCACTTCACACTTTTGTTTTTTATGACGTTGTTGTTGTTGTGGTTGCTGTTTTTGCTATTACAACACCGTTAACAACTGAAAGTGAAACTGTTAGTTTTTTCGCACGCTTCGGAGAGTCTCTTTCTCACTTGTCTTGTGATATTCGTTGTATTTTCTTTTTAGGTTATGTTCATTTGTTAATAAAAAATTTATTTTTTTTTAAATCAAAAATATTTTTTTTTTTGCAGATTCGCGCGAGTTGTTCTTATTTAAGGGGTGGGGAAGGTCACATCAATTTCCCAACAGGAATATTTAGTGTGCTGCAAAGAGAGGAAAAATAGGTATTTTAATAAAAATTGAAAAATATATATTTTTAACTTAAAAAAATGATTTTTAAGAGTAAAAATTAAAACTAATTTTTTAATTAAAAAAAAAAAACAAGGATAAGATTTAATCAGAAAATTAACACAAAAAATATACATGTATGTATGTCTCAGTTTTTGATAATCGCATGCTAAGATTGTTTTTTATTTTGTAATAAAAAAAATTTGTTACCAAAAATTGGAAATAAAAAAAATTTATTTATTAAAAATGATTTTAATATTAATTTAAAAATTTTGCTAGATAATAAATAGTTAATTTAATAATGATTAGTGAGTTAGCTTAATATCTATTAAGAAAAAAAATATTTTTTGAAGAAACTACCTAACCTCAAAAAAAAAAAAATTATATCACCCATAAGTACACGTGTCTGAATTGAGCTTACTAAGTAAATCGCGAACTTTTACCCCTCACAGCCACCTGTTTATATACAAAGTGTAACAAATATGAACTAATTAAAATTATTTATAGTAATACTTTCTTTCTTTTACTTTTTATTTCAATAAATAACAATTTGTATTTTTATTGCCAGCAAAATTATCATTTCTATTTGCCTCATCACTCATGACAATCGTTAGTAGAGATTTTTTGTATAGCCAATTATATAAAATCGCTTACAAACTACCCAGCAGGAAATCGGCGACAAAGAAATATATTTTAATATAATTAATTAAAATTAAAAATTATTCTTAAGATTTTTTCGAGATAACAAATTTCTCAAATACAAAATAAATTTTTATTTCCTTGAAATTTAAATAAAAAAATACATATATTTTATTTTTCTTCCAACACTTTAAAGCACTTATTAAACTTATTATTTTGTACATTTTAAAATATTTTTTTTACATTTTCCAATACTTAACAGTTTTAAAAACTAAATAAAATTCTATAAAAGAATGCAATAAAAAACAAACTTTTTTTTATCTATTTTTGAATTTAAATAATTTATTTTTGCATTTCAAAAACTTCAAAACTTTTAGCGTTGATATAACAGTGAATTTCTGTAAGATAAAATAATAAAAAAACTTTCTTTCTGTTTTTTCATTAACTTTAAAATTTAAAAAAAAATATATTTTCTTGTATATCTTTCCGCCATAGAACTTTTAGAATTTCAAGGATGGTGGCAAGGATTATAAAAGATTTCCTTTATAATATATTTGGTGTATAATTAGGAGTGAAATTGTTTATTGTAAAAAAATTTAACTTTTTTAATTATATTCAAATTATTTTTGATTTATTTTAATTATTTAGTTTTTTAATAGTTTCAAATTTTTAATTACATATTTTTTTTTAATTAATTAAAATAATTTTAATATTTTCGCTTTATAAGAATATTTTAATTTATTTTTAACATACTTATTTTTATATTTCTTGAATAGTTTTTTAGTTCTTTTAATTATTATTTTCAGGCTTTTGAATCTTTTTCATTTGTTTTAAGGATTTTTTAAACCTTTTTCATTTGCTTTAAAGACATTTTAAGTTAAGTTAATTTTATTTTAATTATTTTCCATTTTTTTCACATATTTATTGTTATTATTTTTTAAAGTTATTTTAATTTTTTCGTTCATTCAGTTATTTTAATTTTTTGATTATGTCAAAATTTTATAATGTTGTAATCTGTTAAATTATTTTAATATTCTTAAATTACTTACATATTTGGATTTTTTTAAATGAATTTAACTTCCTCATTTTTTCAATTATTCTAATTTTTTTTAGATATGTAAAAGTTTTTAATTATTTATTATTTTTAATTTTAAAAAAAATTAATTTTGGTTTTAATTAATTTTTTTGACATTTTTTTATTTACTTTCGTTGGTAAACTATTTTTTGTTTTAATTTTTTTTTTTTTGTTTTAATAATTTTTTCCATTTACATTAATTTTAAATGAATTATTAATAATTTTTTTTAAATGAATTTAATTTTTTAATTAATTAATTTTTTCAATTACTCCAATTTTTTTTTTAATATTTAAGATTTTTTAAAAATTTATAATTTTTCATTTTTAAAAAATTTTAAATTCGAATTTTGGATATATTTTCAAATTTTTGACATTGTTTTATGCACTTTCTTTGACAAACTTTTTTGTTTCAAATTTTTTTCATTTGTTTTAATAATTTAGATACATTAATTTTACAGGAATTATTTTCCATTTATTAATTTTTTTATACATATTTACTTTCATAATTTTTTAAAACTATGTATTATGTTTATTTTTTTTTTTGATATGGTAATTAGTTATTTTAGAATTTTATATATTTTCTTTAAATTTTTGAAATTTTATAGATTTAAAATTGTTTAATTTATTCAGTAAATAAAAATAATTATATTACAACCCCTTAATATTTCCCACAGGGCTAGTCGAGTTGTTGTAACGGTTAATAATTTGCTTTTTCAACAAACAGAGATCATAAAATAAGCTATTTTTGTTGTCAGAAACAATATACAAATGCACCTTTGTATATATGAATGTGTATAAAAAAGTAAAAATATTGAAGCTTTTGAAAAAATGTGCATAAAAAAAATAAAACAGAAATGCATGCCAATGCATATATGTACATACATATATACATACGCACGCGCTTGCATATTAATTTATTGTATATTACAGCAAACATATTTACAGTTACAAAAAATGCTTAAAGCATTATTATTACTTTTTGTTTTTGTTTATTTAATATTCAATATTTCCACAACAAGTTTTTGCTTCTTCCCCTTCCTGCTGTGCTATTGTTGTACAGTTTGTGTGTATGCGTTTGATGTACATACATACATATGGTATGTATTGCATTGATTTCACCAGCTGTTTTGCTTAGATACATACACATACTCACACTAACTCTTGCAAACGAATAGACATACATACATAAAGACATATATACTCACACATGCATTTAGGGCACAAGCATTGCACTAATAATAATAAATAAATAAATATGTTTTAAATATTTTTATATTTTATATGTATGTATGTAAGTATTTCGCTATTATTTTCTCCTTTATTGTTTTCTGTGCAGTTTTTGTTGTTTTTGGTAAGAAAAAAATATTTCATTGACACGCAAAACCAGTTGTTAGAGCAATAACAAATGCAATAAGCAATGCTAGAAAATATTTATTACATTAAATCTATATATAAATAAGTAGATATGTATTTTGAAAACGGTTTCTAAGACAAATTTTGAAAATGTATTCAATCGAAGATAAAATTTGCATACTTGAAAATGGGATATTTTTTATATGACGATCAAAATTTTCAATTCTCCAAAAACAAAATTAATAATTTTTCGAAAACAAAATTATTGGAATATTTAGATAAAGATTAAGTAATACGAAATAAAATATGTTTTCAATAAAAATTTTAAATTATTTGATAAAAAATTTATATTTTTTGAAAACTAAATTTTCAGTTATTCGAAAACAGATTTTCATTATTCCGAAATCAAAATTATTAACTTTTCGATAAAAAGATATGTATAAACAACAACAGAAACCGCTAATAAACAACAACAACAACTATTATAAATAACAACAACAACTGTTATAAAGAACAGCCAAAACTGAAAAACAAAAACTGTTATAAACAACAATAAAAACTGATATAAACAACAACAAAAACTGTTATAAAAATAAAAAATATGTTATAAACAACAAGAAAAAACTGTTACACACAACAATAAATAGCTGTTATAAACAACAATAAAAAACTGTTATAAACAACAATAAATAGCTGTTATAAACAACACTAAAAAACTGTTATAAACAACACTAAAAAACTGTTATAAAGAACAATAAAAACCGTTATAAAGAACAATAAAAACTGATATAAACAACAACAAAAACTGTTATAAAAACATAAAAAAAAAAAACAAATTATAAGAACAACAAAAACTGTTATAAACAGCAGAAAATAGCTGTTATAAACAACACTAAAAAACTGTCCTAAGCAACAATATAAAAACTGTTATAAAGAACAATAAAAGCTGTTATAAGCAATAAAAAAACTGTTATTAACAACAACAGCAAATATTATAAACAATAACAAAAAATGTTATAAAGAATGACCAAAAATATTATAAATAACAAAAACAACTGTTTCAAATAACACCAAAAATTGTTTAAATAAAATCTAAAATCTGTTATAAACAGCAACAAAAACTGTTATACGCAACAAAAACAGTGCAGCAAACAACAACAAACTCTGCAATAAATAACAACTAAACTTCTATATACGTAATCAACATGAAAAAGAAAAACGATAACAACCAACAAATCCAAAGCCAAATCCAATACATGCTATTACAACATCGTGAACAACATGCCAATACAAATAAAGCAACAAGTAAACGCAAAAAAAAAGAAAAGAAGAGGAAAATCTAAACTAAAGAAATAAACAAAACTAACAAATAACCGACATGAACAAAAACAGGTAATAACAACACTTGCAAAAATTGAAAAAAAAAAATTAAATAAAATTAAAAACAATAAAAACAATACAAAGCAAACTAAAACAAATCACGAATACCACCGCCAACCCAAAGAGTCAGTGAGCAAATGGCTATCAATATCGGCTATCAGAGATGAAATCGCTTTTGTTTGTTCAATACGTGCGAAGAAAACACATTGAACGAATGTCGATAAGACGAAATGCCAGTTACACGACGATTTGCTATGTGAACGCTATGAGCGAGCGCGAGCAGGAGAGTAGATGAGGGGGGTGGAGAGGAGAGGAGAAAAAAGTGACGAAACCGCTGTTGGTCGGATAGGAGATTGCCCTAATTATACTGGCGATTATTCAAACCTTATATTAACCAACAGCGATGACTAATGCATAGGTTATAGGTTTCTGGAGATCACTCAGATTGGGTTGAAGGTTATTTCTTGACCAAAAAATTGTGGTGAGGCAACCGCCTTGCTTGATGCGAGTATCCCAGCAGTGTCAAAG